TCTAGCTGCTGTGGATTCATTGCCCTGAAAGCAGCGGGCACAAGCCCTGCTCTATCTACTCTCTTCTGAGGGAAGCAGCACTGATATTCCCCATGCCATTGTGAGTTCCACAGAGCTCTCAACTCTACATAGCAGGGGCAGGTCTCACCTTCTCAGAAAGTTCTTCAGCAGTGTCCAGATCCCAGTTCATCTGCAAGGCAAGAAGCAGGGCTGGTTTCATTTGAGTAAGAAGATAAATCTCTCATATTGGACAGGAGTGTTGCAATCTTTCAACTGCCAAGAACATGAAGTATTTTTAAAGATGGGAAGAATGACACTGGTCCAAGTTTTCACTTCATTTCAAGTTGAGCAACTTTGAATGTCTTGCATTCCTTTATTCCTGGGAGAGGAGGGTTGCAAAAATAAGGCCTCCTCCCAATGTTCTTAGCTTTAGATTTCCTCAGATAGCAAGACTGAGTTGTTTCCATGTTCAGAAACGGCTATGGTATCTTCCCAATACCTACACTGTAATATGTAATCTCATGTGATGTATATATGTAGTCTAATGATTATATCTCAGTGTTATGGGCACATATATCTATGGATGGTCTGGAAGACAACTTCTCATTAAGTTCTATAACTTTGGTATCTATAAAAATATGCTGAAATATACTTCATAATTAGATCTCTTGTTCCACAAGGATTGTAAGACACTTAGAACCCTGTTTTACTCCTTTAACTTAGACTAACATAAGAAAATAACAATTTCTCCCTAGTCTAAGTCAAGCTACACATAGTTAGTTCATTTATAACCACAGAGCAAATTCAAACTAGACTGAATGTCTCTATAAATGGACCATAAGTTAAAACCTTTACAGGTATACACAAGGACAGAGTCACAGATATATAACCAAGATTATTAAAACAAAACAAATTAAAATACTATGCTAATACTTCCCTTACTCAAAGTCTGGCTGATAAAGACCTATACCTTGCAAATATCCATCAGCAGCCTTTTTCACCAAGCACTGTACCCATTGGCCTCAGGTCACAGCTTGTATACTAGGGACCTCGAGGCTGGGTGTTGCCATGGTTACTCAGTCCCCTCAGATGGAGCCTATGTAACATTTTTTATTACAAAAAATTGCTGTTAAATGTGCATATAAGCTATGGAGAATCGGGGAAGATTAGAATAAAGTGAATAAAGAGAATTAGAGTTTAAGAAGAATAAAGAGTGTGACCCTCAGATCATATATGTGTCTCTTTTATAGATAAGAAAATTTTCTATGATCTCCTCACTCTGAAAAATTCTATTTATAACCTATGAGTAGTTCTGGCTGCTGGACTTCCCTGTTGTGTTATATAGCATATATATGGTTAAGTGAGTCTAAATTTTATGATTTTGAGTTATCAAAAAAGAATGGTCTAATTTAGAACATTAATTTCATCTACTAATGTTTGATTGATTTTATTAATTTTATTAACCTGTATTTTAACAAAGCATTGTTAGATAAAAAGATTACCTTAATTAGTGGTGTGCCTAAAGGGGTTTTAACCTACAGGTTCGAAAACACTGGAAGGTTCAAAGAGAAGGGCTGGCTCCATAAGTCTGATAAGAAGGAGTTAGAGTCCAGCTCTAGGAAGAGCTGTAGAGGAACAACCACAGTTACCGTGGCTATGGCCATGGACATCAGTGGCTTATGTGGAGGGGCTGAAGTAAGAAGGCAGCAGATGCTCTAAGAGTATGCTGGAGAAACCAAATGGAGGAGACAAAGGAGGGCACAAGTAATCATGTGGACAATAAGGGTCCCATTGACTCAGAGGTCTGTGGGAAATAGAGAAGAGTGTTCTATGTATTTTGAAGAATCACAAAGGGATGAAGCTGGGCCAGGAGGAATGACTGAACAGGGCTGATTCTTTTTTCATGTTACCAGCCCGGCTTTCACTGCCAATAATCCAAAAGTGGGTAGAGGAGTCCTTATAGGACTAATCTTGAACTTCTGTAATGGTTTCCAGAGGACAGTTTCTTCCATCCCACACAGTGATGCTGAGCTGTTTGCTGATAACAGAGAAGGATTTCTGAGGACAAGATACAGAGTGCTTCACATACAAGTGAAATTTCCTATTTTCACTAACCACAGGAGTCTTTCTATTAGGTATTGGGGAAGTACTCTGGCTCTAGCCTAAATGGAAAGCATTTCCAGATCAGGTAGATTCTTCAAGGTTATAGCAGAAGAAGCAAAGTCTGATACAAAGTATTTGGAAAACATCACTGATGCTGCATCTTTGAGAGAGAAGCCATGAGCTAAAACTGCATAGTTTTCTCAGGGTATCTGTACCTTGTTCTAAACAGTTGTCTGACTGGCTGCATGACTGGGAGTCTTTGGTCCAAGGAAGTTACAACTAAATAGGAGAGCCCATACCTGATAATTAGGGTACAAAATGCACAGTCCCCGTGCTTGTTTCTTGTCCAGTCCAGCCTACCTGTTCGAATGTGCCTGAGTAGGGTGAGGATTGACAAAGAAAGAGACAAAAGACAAAAGATGGATTTGGGAGGCTTCACAGTGAATACAGAAAAAAGTTCCGAGTTTATTAATCACAGTCCTTATAAACCCCAAGCAAAAGATGAGTGCAAAAGACTTCCTTACCAATGATACAAGGGACAAACAGTCATAATAATCTCCTTAATATTCAACACATTTAATAAGAAAACCTTAGCAAAATATTTTGTTATTTGGCCTTGACAAGCTATAACTCTATGTACATGAGTTGAGAGAAAAATGGAGTCACTTTTGGCCCCTGCAATTCTTATATCTACATCTCGGGAATTAATAACATCTTCCTGCAAAATGATGCTTCTCTGACCAAGCCTATGAGTAGCACTGACCTGTGGATATAAATAAGGATATTTTAAGGAAAAATTGACAATAACTTATAGGGTTTCTCCCTAGGGTCTGCTGGCCTCCAGGTGAGAGGTTTTGACGAGGTGTATAATGCTAAGTTTCAGTTTTTTCTTGTGTACCAGGCCTCAAATACAATCAGAAAGCTGCCAATTACCACTGCGACACTGGTGCCACATTGTACCAGGTGTTCTAATTTCTCTTTTGTACAAAACTAATGCAAGTAACTAATAACAGTGTCACGGTTCTTTCTGTATTCTTGAAGTGGCATTAAGTTCAAGTAACAGAGAAAATGTTTCTTTCTATAAACATTGGGAAGTCTTTAGTTTCCTCCAAGATCAAAATCTTTCACCATAAGGAAAGAGTGGTAAAAGACAGGGAGTTAACAAAAGGATGCAGGATAGCAGGATATTTTAATAGTAAGTGGACACTCACATCCTGCAAACAAAATCATTAAGGTCAAGAAGTAAACAACTTAGAGGTTTCAGAAGTCCCAGAAACCAGATATAATTCTCTCCTCCTTCCTCAAGAATATCCAGAATGTTACTAGGCATGCTCAGACAAGGTAATGTGCCTGGAAAAGTTAGGGACTAACCAAGTTGTGAAGAAGTCCTCGGACGACCTGAACTACCTGAAAAGGACACTCTCCAAAGCATTGTACTGTCTACAGACTGTCAAGGGTGCTCCAGATTTCTGGCTATTCTGAGCTGATGAGGGATGAACTAGTGGCACAGCTATCTTTGAGTTATTTCTGCTTCTGTAAGTAAATCCTTATCAATATTCCTATAATTAACACAATAAAAAATAAATCCTATGGTTTAACAAATTGAACTTATTTGTATCTTAACTTTGACCTGGAGTGAGTGAGTAGATACTTGTGTACACCTCCTGAGGAAAATTTTCATACAAAACAGTCAAAGAGCAGTTCCAGGCTACTTTGTATAGGTGATTTTTTACTGTTACCCTTATCTTTGTTGCATAGCATTTGTGGATTATACAAATTGAAACTTTAGGTCTGTATAAGATACAATTCCCTGTCCCTTACTATCATGGAAAGTCATCATTTTCTTCTCTCTGAGTCTGTTCTTTGGTGTGTCAGGACACTACAGAGAAAGTGTTGTATATGGAGATAAATGTAATATTCACAAATCTGCAAGCTCGGGAACCCAAGACCTAACATTCAGCATTTGGTGTGATTTTTCCTGTTTCTTTGTCATTTTATATAGGGTGGTCAGAGTCTAAGCCAAGTGTTTCCAATACCCTTTCATTCAAAGATTTGGGGTAAAGGCTCACATAGGTTTTAAAGAAGACTTGAAATTTTTCTCAAAGCACAGTGGCCGTAAAGAGTAGACAGGAATATGTGTGAAGAGCAACAGTGATCACATGAGGAAAGGTGCTCAAGGGCCCCAGCTTTTGTTTGGAGCCACTTTCATGGAGTTCAGGAGAAGGAGTTTGGGTGCTGTGAGGTGTGACATGGGTGTATCTTCATTTCAACTGAGAGGCTTAGATTAGGTAGGCATTTACTTCCTGTGCAGGTCCTTTCAACACAGTATTTTATGTGATTATATACACACAATTATACATAGGAGGAAGATGGTCAACATGATATTCATCATAAAAGTTCCCTTTGAGAATACAGTTTTTCTTGTTGTACATGCACTTGAACTAGTCTGGATCAGATCCTCTTTCTTGGTATCAAAAAGATTTTGTGAAATATTTGAATATAAATAATTCATGAAGGCATTTCTAAGGGCAGCAATCATTTTCATTGTTTCCAACACAGACACACACACACAAACACACACACATATCTGATGTATGTGGCTGCCCATGTGGTCAAAAGTCTTCAGATATATTGATAGAAGAATGTGTGTACACAGGAGATGCAGATAATGATCTCTGACTGGAAAGTGTAACCGTGATTATCAAACAAGTAGAGTCTGAATTTAAGGCTGAATTCAACCTTCTCCTGTGTCTTTTATTAATGCCTTGAGTTTTCTGGGGTGAACATAGACTACTTGTTCTTTGGCATGCTTGGTCTTTAATATCACATATGAAGCTTGTATTCTATACTTTTAATTTCATAGCAACACTCAAATGGCTAAAAGATACTCCCAAGGAATAATTTCTTTATCAAAATGTGGTTTTATTTTTAAGTTTTATATGTAAAACTTATAAATTAATAAGTATAAAGATATTGATAGAAAACATAGAACTTAAAACATTAAATGTGTATAATCAATAAAAGAAACCAATATTTCCTAGAATTAAGGGCAGGTCTGGTGGTGGTGGTCCAGGCCTTTAATCCTGGAACTCAGGAGGCTGAGGCAGGTAGATCTCTGAGTTCATGGCCAGAATGGTCTGCAAAGTGATTTCCAGGACAACAATGACTAAACAGAAAAATCCTGTCTTGAAAAATCAAAACAAAAGAAGCTGGATTTCAAAGTTTGGTATTTCAACAGTTCATGTATACATGTATTTTCTGGACTTGTATCTTATCTCCATAAACAGTATCCTTGGCATCCAGGTTTTCTGATCTGAATCAGGCTTGAGTGACTTTCTTTCCAACATTGACGACCTTAAAAAAAGAAGATGATGAGGTCAGATCAAGTGAAATTCAAATGGCTCCAAACACTCTCTATATTCATACTGACGTGTCCCTATGGGTCACATTCAATTTCTCACTGGTCTATCTCCTTAAATGTCACTCTGTCCTTGAAGTCAGCTTTCTTCCCTTCTTGGGACTATGAGAATAGCTAGTCACTCCTACAGACTTGAGCACACAGCTGGAAGGCACGGTTATGACACAGAGCTCCAGAAGAGAGGAAAGAGCTATCATTCCTTAGGTATAGATTGAGTTGCAGAGTCTCATTAAACAGGCAGGTTGGGAGGAGGGAGAAAGGACTTTGCTGTTGCAACTGCCATGGGGGAATGTTTGAAACTTTGGCTGGTGGTCTGGGAACCATGGTGTTGTAAGAGTGTTTTTATTTGAACGAACATATGATCCCTTCTATTTCTTCTGTTCACGTGGTTATAGTGGCCTTTTTTAAAGTGTGGAATGAATCCCACTCAATGTGTAAGTATAACAAGGATTGTGGCTTTTAGCACATTGTGGTCTTATTAGCCCAGGGCATCCTTGGGAACTTATGATTTCTGTACATCATGCTCTGCAACAGACAGTATTTGAATATTATACATGAAGGCTCCAAGGCTCTTCATGTTTTAGTCTTTGCTAAATTTGAAAAATCAAAGAGTCAGAATATGAAACAAACATCTTAATTAACCTGAGTTTTCTCAAATTATCTCTCTGCTTTGATAAAGGAGATACTTTTTTGTCATTTAGCTAAACTTATAACAACTTTTGAATTTATTTCTTTATTATGATTTAGAAAAATTTACTTAAAAGATACTGAAAGGAATTTTATTATTAAATGTGAAAAGTTAGTTTTTATTCTCATGTTGGATTGTCTATGTAATGCCAACAGTCAAGTACACAATATATATGTATGTATGAAATCATATATATGGATGATTTTTAATAATATTAAATTCTAGAGCACACACCTGCATGTAACTGTGTCTTACAGACTTCAGCTGCCATTTATCTTTGCTTGAGGACAATTCAAAACAGACGAGTCGAAGTTTTTGGCCTGGCTCACACTTTATATTGGTCAGTCTTCCACAGACCACCACTTCCATTTTCCCTGTATCATCTTCAATTCCATAGTAAATGATGGGATCCCTCTCAGTTTTCTGAAAAGCAAGTTAGCATTCATCTTTTAGGAAATGTGTCAAAGCTTGTCACATCTATGAGGAATATAGAGTGTCAGCATAAACCTATCCCTGCCAAGGCAAGGATGGCTCTTAGGTTTAGAATCACAGGCACAAGGGCCAGTGAGATGGCTCAGTGGGGAAGGGGGCTTGCTGGCAAGCCTGATTACCTGGGCTCAATGAGCAGGTCTCATGGTAGAAAGAGAGAACTCATTTGTGAAGCTTCTCTCCTGACTTAACACAATACTTTAAAAGCTTTTGTGTTTTGGTTCGAATCCGAGTCACGGCACAAAAAAAAAAAAAAAAAAAAAAAAACAACAACTTTTGTGTTTCTTCCCATTCTTCAGGGACAAAATAAATAACTGAAAAAAATGTTATCAGGAACAAGAAAGTTTAAGGTGTTTAAGTGAACAAATCTTTTCTTTGAACTCCCTCTTGAAGCCTTGTAGGCCTAGCCTTAATGATTGAGTCATCACTGCAGCCCTTGGAAGCCACTCTTATGTGTCACCTAATTGATGATTTCTTCTGTTGGGTGTTTTTAGAAAAAATGAGTATATTTCTAAGTACTATGGTAACATATAAGAGTATCTGAGATTTCTTAAGGAACAAAAAATAAAAACAAAAATAAACAGCAATAACCATTTAATTACCATTGCAGGTTTCTTAGGTATCTCCAGGAGTCCTGAGAAGAAAGGCTACTTATGGCTCATTGTCAGTTTGAGAAACACTACTCTAACTCCTTTTCATTTAATGTATTTTAATTTTTATGGAAGATAAACTTATTTTAATGAAACATAATCTGATCATAATTTTCCTTCCCTACTCCTCCTAGATTATCTTCACTTCCCTACCTTTCCAACGCCACAGCTTCTTTCTCTCTCTCTTAAGATAACAAACAGGTGAATAAAGAATTAAACCAAGAATGAAACAAAAAGAACACACTAACAGAAATAAGAAATTGTATGAGAAACAAATACACAGACATGCAAATAGGGACTAACAGTAAGACAGAAAGTCTGATACACTCACTCACCACACACACACACACACACACACACACACACACTCCTTTTAAATGGATCACATCTTCTCAGTGCACACATCATTCACTCTACTCCTTCCTAACCCTTCATAGGTTGAATCTACAGCTTTTAGTTCTGGCATTTAAGTTTGTGTTCCACTTAGTTTACTTATTAATTGTGTAACCAAATTCACCAGCACAGTCAAAGACAGCGTAGATAAAAGTAAAAGCCATGACTGATTCATAAACAATGAGTTATGAAATCATACACTTAACAAGAATACTAATGAATTGGTGCATCGGCACTCAAAGAAACACCAGAAAGTCTTAGATTTCCTAGGATTTCCTCACTTCCATTGTGCCCAGTCATAAACTGTGAAATTAAACTAGACTGTTAAACTCCTCTTCCTTTCATTATTTAAAATATTAGTCACCCTATCAAAAGAGCTTGATACAATGTAAAGAATACTATAATGAGAACACAGTAAAGGAATAATCTTGGCTTGTTGGTCATGGCTTCAATCTGGAGCAGAATAGTCTCTTGTTTTTTATTCTCATCATCTCAAACTGTATGCAGGCTTTGAGTTTGGCTGTTCTGGCAACTGAGTTGCCAATAATATGGGTATGGAAGCTATCAAAGGAATAGAATCTAAAAAAAAAGTTCCATAAACTGAACGTTGTCTAGGAATAAGATGGACATAATTGATTGTCATAGCCAGGAAAATGCCAAAGTTATTGATGAATCGATTTCTAAAGATTTTTCAAGGTTTTACCTTGTGGAGAAGAATAAGAGACTCCCAATCCCCAAAAGAGGAAACCATACTCATCTCTTTCTGACATGAGGAGCAATTACTTCCTGTGTTAAATAAGTTGAACAAATACCAGTGACAAGTTAAAACTTAAAATCCCAGACTGCAAAATAAATTTCCCAAGTACCGCAATGGCTTACCTTATATACCACAAACTCTCCACTCACATATGTCCCCTGTGCCTGTGAGAAAAGATCCCTTATTTTAGGAGTCGCATTGGCTCTTTTCCTCAGTGTTTTTGAGATATCCATTTTTCTGTTCTTGTCTACATCAGACACACAGGAAGTTTCGTATATTTCCAGAAACCCATTTGAGCCAAAATAATTTGATATGGCAATGATCTTATTTGGAATGAACTTGTTCATTAGAACTGGATCAAAAATCTTCACTCTGTAGAATTCATTCTCAGTCACTACTGTGGCATGGAACATCCTTTTGTCATCAATCAAATCATAAGTAAATGGTTCTGTTACTTTCAAAACCATCACTTCTTTGGGATCTCGATGGTAACCTTCTTCCTTAGATGGTTCCTTGGGTATGTTTCTTCTCCTTGGTGTCTATATAAAACACACACAATATAACCATGTGTAATTCAGACAGAGCATAAGGCACAGTTCCACTGAGTACAGTGGAGAACATCTAAACAATGATTGCCATACTATAATCTAGATATAGTGAAAAATGGATATTTACCTGAATTATTATCTACTTATTCTAGTTAATATAAACATTACTTGGTAGGTTAAGAGTTTATACTTATGTTTGTGGGGACTGAACACAAAGGCTCCAAGCTCTAGTTAAGTTGTTATTCTAGAAACATTTGCTAATGTTTGATTACAAAACCTGGACTAAATATTAGAGCTCTCTTGTAATAGGGATAGGTAGGCAGTCTAGGAAGATACCCTGAAATATTTATACTCAGAAAGGATTCAGGCTAGTACCCCTTCTTTTTCTATACAGACATGGAGGAAAATCCTGGGACCTGAAAATATTCATGAGGTCATTTTACTTTGATCACCTACCTTCTCAGTATCCTCCTCCATATCTAAGCATAAGGAGAGCACTTTGAAATGGAGGCAACAGAGTAGAACTGGAAGAGGAAGCGCGAGGACAGTCAAGGCCAACCTGGGTACCAGCACAGGGAGGCAGCTATAACTGAAGCACTCTCTGACCTTTGACTTGGAAACATGCAGACTTCACTCTGTGGGTGATGGGGCTTAACTCTGATTACCAACTGATGTGTTCTAATATCAGGAAGTACATTTCAAATATAATTGCAGCAGCGATTCACAATCTGAAAACAATACCTTGAATAAAAAGTATAATGTGCAAAATTAAATACGCACCTGACTCAGCATACTCTTTACAGAGTAGGCATGATCAGGTGATCATTGAGTCAGACATTTTCTTAATGGAGTAGAATATACAACGTATTCTAAAATTGAATGTAGGGAAGGGTAAGTAACTATACACAATAAAAATAGTGATAATTTAAGTAAAAGATTATGTGTCCATATAGATTAATAAAGAATTATTTAAAGCATGTGATAATCTTTGTCATTATACTGTGAGAGTAGGAAGCCATTACCTCGCATGAACTGCTGCTGGTAGTTGCTGGAGACACCATTGGAACTGGGAGACTTTTGGATGTTGTTGGTGGAGCTGGGAGACTTTCAGATGTTGTTGCTGAAGGCATCTGGGGAGTCAGGGCACACCTAGGTGCTTCTACTTTAGGACAGGGAAGAGCCTGAGCAGTACTGGATGCTACTCCTTGATGTCCTTGAGTGGGGCACACACTTCCGGGCATTGTCAGTGGAGGAGCATGAGGAGCCTGGATGAAGCTGGATGCTGCTGCTGGATGCATTTGAGTGGTCTGGACTCTACTTGTCACTATTGGTCTAGGCACCCCATCCGGAAGACTGTTGGATGTTGTTAGTGGAAGTACCTGGAGACTACTAGATGCAGTTGCTGGAGATGGCAAAGAAGTCAGGACATAAACAGGTACTGTTGCTAAAGGACCTGGGACCTGAGCATTCCTAGCTACATTTACCCTAGCAGGGTTAAGAGTCTGAAGGCTTCTACCTGTTGTTCTTTGAGGCACCTGAGTGGTGCTGACATTTCTGGGCACTGCTCCTGGAAGAGTGTGGAGCACCTGAACACTGCTGGATCCTGTTGCTGGAGGCTTCTTTGTGCCCTGGGCTTTGCTTTTCAATGTTGCAGGTACTCTAGGGCTTTGGGCACTTCCAGATCCTGTTTGAGGATTGTGAAGAGTCTGTATGCTATGGAATGCTGATGTTGTAGGTAGGTGAAGGTTCTGGGCACTGATGGACCCTGATACTGGAGATATCTGAGGAGAATTGAGAGAACTGGACACCGTTTCTGAAGACACACTAGGGACACAGACATTACTGGATACTGTTGATGAAGGTACATAAGAAGTTTGGACACTCACGGAAGAGTTCAGATGGTTGCTAGAGTCTGATACTGCAGATATTAGAAAACTTTGGCAGTGTGGTGCTGGAGAGCCTTGAGACTTTTTTAAAGATTCACATGTTTCTGGAAATGTCTGGGGAGTGTTGAGGCTGCTAGAAGCTATTGCTGAGAGCCCCTGAAGAGTATGGCCTTCCCATGCAGCTGAGGCATTGCTGGTTGCTGACAATCCTAGAAGCTGGTGTTTTTTCTGGGAATCATCTATCTTCAGAGTACTCTGATTTTTGGTGTTTGTGCTTTTCTGTTTCTAAAGAAAAATAGGATTGAAATACTTTTAATACTGTTTACTGGTTTTTAGAAAATGAGACCAGGTGCTTCTATTCACTTTCTCTTCTGTAACGAGAACTTTAACCCTGCCAGCTTGCTCCTGGGCTGACGGAATTGTTTAGAACATACTTCTAACACCTAGCCTTCACTCTTACTATTAGATATTACAGCTTCTCTTAAAAGTCCGGTATTGAATTTTCTCTGGTCTGGGATGAATTACTAGTTCAAAGTATCTTACAAAACTGGCCAAATATTTCTTGGTCTGGTTCAATTCTCATCATTTCATGGGAAACTAAGCATGTAGTAAAATTTGTTGTTTCTAAACTTTTCTTCATGGAGACTTTCAAATCCATCAAATATTTGATCTTTATTGTGCACACAGAGAGCAAACACCCACATACCTTCAGGTGATGTGATGAAAATTGTGTGACAAGTATGCTAAAAATTGATCCACTTAGATGGATTTATTGAATTATGATGAAGCTCAGTTGACAGAGTAACTAAGATGCCTGAAGACCATAAGGAATCATTGAAACCTCTGTTTAGGTCTTTAAAATGGCCATGACTCCAGTTAAATACAACTTCTACATATGTGAGAACTACTTGTAGTTCAGGCAACAGATCTTGTTAGAGCATTCACTACACTTTCATATTCTTAACGGTATAGAACTGCAGCATGATTAATAAAAACCCAGAGACAGACACCGGGGATCAACATGAAGGCCAGAAAAAAGAAACAGTCACTGACACTTACCTCTACCTACCTCAGCTGAAATGGTGATCCTGCCTTCATGAATCTCAGAATGAGACTGTCAGAGAGCTGTCTCCTCCTATTTTATAGTCTTCTCCAGTGCTGGGATTAAAGGCATGCACCACTACTGCCCAAACTAGTGTGGCTACTGGGATTAAAGGTATGTGTCACCACTGCCTGGTCTTTAAGAATAATCAGTGTGGCTGTTTTACTCTCTGAACTTCAGGCAACTTTATTTATTAAAATACAATGAAATATCACTACAAAAATTTTAAAGACTATAAATTTTGCTTTAAAATCTAAGGGAAGTTCATATGCAAATACATTTGTAAAACTTTACAGGTCACTTTTTGCTGGTTTTACTTTATGGTTTTGATCATCCAAGATAAAAGTCTTCTAAAATTCAACAATTGCTGTGAACCTGATGCCAATCTAGGCAAAATAGCTGCAGCCTATTTTCGACTTGTGTGTATATCAATTGTATTGCTGTCATCATCTACAAACACAGGTAATTAGATGCGCCTAAGGAGTTCCGATGCTAAGTAACAGGACTCTATCATTTAAAAAGATAAAATGTTGGTCATATCAAGGGTTCAGTACAATTGTACCATGCAAGAAAATAAGGACATTTGTGTAAATTGCAGTCATGATCTCAAAATACATGCATGATGAATAGGCGACATATACAATAGAGTACATGATTAAGAGGTTAGTTCTTTCAAGGCTATGGTTGTTGCAATTATATTAAGAAGGCATTGTACTGGGAACAAGATTCCGTTCTCTTTGATGAGGAATATCTGGGAGAGTTTAGTGTATGCCTGGAGGGGTCTGAATCTGACTCGTAGCAAAAATGACCGCTTCAGTTCTACTGGTTAGTGCTGGACAGGGATAAAGACTTCAAGGCAGGGAAACAGCATGCATCAAGAAGACATGCTAAGAGGAACACAGAATGACGAGAATAACCCCTGAAATTGGATCACCAGCAAAGGGAAAAGGGCTGAGAAGAAAGTAGGCACTGGGGATTGAAATATTCCAGTGTTCATCTCTATCTGTCTCTTCTATACTTCCTTCTGAACCCTAAGCAAGCAGAAAGTTGGTTGACAGCCATTGAAATCATTTCATAAGTACTCACCTTCTCAATACCACAGAGGCTCTGATACATAATTAGATAATTAGCTATTTACTAACATGAGGGAAATCTTAGTAGTATGGGGTCAGTGAGACATTTTTCCAAGGCTGTAGTGAGTCCAGTGATAAGCTTCGGGAAGGGGCAAGCACTGGGAAGAGGAAAGTGGTACCTTGTTGGAGGAATTGCTGGATGGTGTTGCAGGCTTCTCGGGAGTCTGGAGACAACCTTCATCTTTCTGTGTGTTGCTTCCTGAAGGTTCTAGAGGCTGAGTCTGCTCTTGGTTAAGCTTCCTTTTTTTGCCACATTCAGTTTCCGAAGTTTGTTTTTCCTTTTTCTGAAAGAAAAATGTTTTTTCTTTATTGATTTTCCCATGCACTGAAAATTGAACCCCAAGCTTTGTACACGCTAAATTGTGCTTTTCTATACAGTTTTATCCCCAGTCTGTAGTAATGGCTTTAGTATAAGGTCACACATAAAATTCTCAGAACCACAAGAATCTTTTGCTTATTATGGAGTTCTAATTTTATTTTTTGTCATTGAGCATACCTCATTCTGAAAAGATGGACTGTATAATGTGGTGGGTTGAGTAAGAATGGCCCCCATAGACTCACATATTTGAAGGCTTCATCACCAGGGAGTGTCAGTACTAGGAAGTATGGCCTTGTTGGGGTAGGTGTACTTTATTGGAGAAAGTGTGTCACTGAGCTTTCAGATGATCAAGCCAGGCCCAGTGTCACTCTCTGTTGCTGCTACCTATGAAGATGTAGAACTCTCAGCTAGCTCTCCAGCACAATGTCTGCCTGCATACTGCCGTGCTTCCCACTATGATATTAATGGACTAAAGTTTTGAAGGTAAACAAGCCCCAAAGAAATGTGTCTTTAAAAAATAATAAGAATTTCCATAGTCATGACATCTCTTCAGAGTAATGGGAACCCCAGCTAAGATATATAACGGTGTCTCATAGAGGAGCAGAAAAATTTCATTAATCTCATTTATTTATTATTTATTATTTATTATTAATTTCATTTATCCTTGTGGTATCAGAAGAGAATTGGGTCCAGAAATACATAGCCCATATTTAGGATGAATCTTTTCAAGAGCTACATCCCAAATTAACTGCTATTTCATGAAGTGGTCATTAAAAAGCCAGATAGTGATTTTTTTGTTTGCATCCTTGGGTGGGCGGTCATACTGCCCCGGTTAGAGCATGTGGTAAAATATGACACACAGGGAGTGAGAGGTCATGATGAATTTGTCGACTTTAAACCTTGTTCTCACAGAGCCTTGGACAAGATAGATACAGTCCTACATATTCCTAAAGAATTAAAAAGGGGTGGTACCTGAGTGGAAACATTGTTGGGCAATCAGTCATCTTACCTCTGAAGAGGGTGCATTATTGGAGCAAAGACCATGGGCACTGCTGGGCTCCCCTTGCTCTCCTCCCACGGAAGTTGTGTTCTTTCCTTTCTTTTGTTTTTCAACTATACGGATAAAGAAATCACAGTAAATCCATGGAAATGAGTGAAAATTGCTGAAGCTCATTAAGAATTATTTATTTTCCTTTCAGTTTTCAAAACTGAAATGGATAGTTTATTCTACTTTTATTAATGATTTTACAGAAAGACAACGAATTCATGTTATTTTTAACAAAACCTCAACCATTCAATTTTACCAATAGAGACTCAGGAGCCAGATGTTGAGGTGAAAGCCTGCTAGCTCACAGAAACAGAGAAGGGATCCAGCTGACCTTCCTAGTCCACTGGCATCCCATGGTCCCCCTTTTCCTGTATCAACCCAAACTAAAACCTCTCATCCTCGATTTCCCTCACTTCTACAGCCTGTGCATCTCTCCAACCACCATGCTAACTCTCTCTTACTCTTGATTTTTTTTTTCTTAAAAATCTATGTATGCTTCCTGTCAACGGGTTGCTTGCTTTGACTCTTGATCTCTGGTTGACTTTATTTAATGCTGTTTACAATATTGAAGCAGAAAGCTCTTGGATTAAAAGTGTGTGCTGGGGTTGAGCCACAACAAACCTGGAAATAGTTTTGTTTTAAGAAAAAAAAACAGTAAATAACACAATTTCCAGGTGGAAAGTGTGATCAAATATTGTTTAAAAATAACAAGAACTATTTTATCTCTATTTGTGTCTGTGCTTTTTCTTTCTTCTGCTGCAGAGACTCTACCTAGACAGAAGGCCACCAGTGGTACCAAGTCAGATATATTCACACCTCAGGGGATTTTTGTGCATCCCAGGTGTAATGGAATCAGCTCCTCCATCTTGGGAACTTCTGTTGATATCAGTATAACCGTCTGCCAACCCTCTTATCCCACAGATTGATTTTAAAAGCATGAAACTTTTATGATAATTCCAATAGGTTATGATCTAAAGAAGATAATTACAAGTCATCAAAAAAGAGAAAGAATTATGATTTTATATAACAAAGTAGTAATATTGGATTTTGACTTCTATGTTGGTGATATATCTTCCGGTGTAACTCAGAGTACTTTTTCTATGTAAGTTAATCTGCAGGTCTTTTTGACTGAGCTTCCTTATGCTAAATTCTTGGGTCAGAGTTATGTCCCTTTATTTCCAATATTTTTTTAAACCTAGTGACATTATAAAGAGAAACTATTTCACACCTTTAAAATGTGGGCATCTACTTAAATATTAATCACATTTCCTACAGAAAAGGAATAGTTTAGAGGGTATGCATTATTAATCAAGTATTAAATTTTCTCTATTTAAATGCTTTAAATGAGTTTTTTTTTTCAATTTTTACTCTATCATTTTCTTGTTTTTCTATCATGTTTGGTACACTCTAATCTATCTCAACAACTGCTTTTTGGTTCAGTTTCCTCCAAAGCAAAAGATGTCTACCCAGAAATATATCAAGTTTCTTGGTAAGAAAGGATTTTTTAAATCGTTAACTTGCTGACGTCAGAACAGATTCTATCCCCATAGTTTCTCAGGCACACAATGGGAAAGGGACATATCAACTCTGATCACTGCAGGGAGCTAGACATTTGGGAAGGATGGGAGAGGGATGGGTGTCCAGGGAGCTTCCCCTTGTTACCTTTTGCTTCCTCTGCTTTAAGATATTCAGCAAGACATTTAAGATGTTTATTTTCTTGACAAAATTCTATCAGCTTGCAGAGTCCAGCATCTTTTGGGAATGTATCCTCCATCAAGTCAGCAATCATAATTCTGTCATACTCATTTTGCATGCTTTCAGAGAGGTGTAGATCTCTTCTTAGTAAGGACTTAAATATTCTAAAGTGGTAGTCTTCCATACACTCTAATCCTTTTAGAAGAACAATTTTTTTGTATACACTCATTATTCCTAATATTATGGGCAGGATAAAAACATAAAAATGGACAAAGAATTACATACATATCCAGACAATTTCAAAACAATGTTATTCCTGTGTGAGAGAATGACCAAAATTGATAATGTCCATAATTGCTTGTGTGAGAAAAACAAGTTAAATACAAGCTGTACCACTGTGCAAAAATGGACATAGAACTTTTGTATTCATAAACAACTTTAGGAAATCCTTCTCCAGTAGCCATGTTAGGTGACTTAGGCCCATGACAGTTGTGGGGGAATAAAAGTGTTGGACACAATCATTGCTGCAGTGTTTAGAGTTTGCGCTATGAGTGTTAAAATCCTGTGTTCTTTTTCCATTCTTCTTTGGTGTCCACACAAGGACACATGTGAGGAAAAAATGACGAGTATGAAGAAAAGACATACTCTGTAAGCCCTAATATACTGTATTAATAAAAATTGCTGCAGGCTATTAAAAATCGATCATCTACATATTCAAGGAGAAGATGAAAACTGGTCTCAACAATAAAACTCCCTTCTTCAGCATTCTAATTTTTACACAATACTGATCTCCAGTCCCCAGCGAAAATTACAATAGAAAGGTTTTCTGGGGGGTTGGTACTTGTGAAAACATAACTGTTTCAAACACAACCAGATAAATGATGGCAAAGATTATGTGCAAGTTTTATGGATCCCATTTATATGAGAACATTCATTTTGATATTGAAGTGTTATTGCTTTTGAATTTGGACTAATCCCAACCTCGAAAGAATTTCCATATTACACAATACCATATATCTGTGTAACTGTGAATGTATGCTCACTAGATCCTGTTTCAATATGTGTTCAGCCTCACTGCTAAAATGCTAAACACTTGAAATGTTCAGTCTCTTTCAAACACCTAAAATCTCTTCCAAATTTCAAAGCCTCTCTAAAATACCCAATGTCTTAATGAAATATGAAAGGATCTCAACTGTAAGCTCTTACAAATTAAAAAAAGTAAATAAATAAGCTACGTACCTTGTCATTCCACGTGGGGAAAACCATATCATAATTACATTAAAATGAAAAGAAAATTAAAATTCTAAACTATAAAAAGATTTTCTGATCTCCAACGGGCCTTGGCAGCTCCATTTCTCTTGCTCTTCCATCCAAACACACACCGTGATTCTTATACGCTTAGGACACCTCTCTCCACACCTATTGCTATCCCTGTTGGTCATCGCCCAGTACTGTCAGCTCAAAATAGTAGGGTCCCCATTGCACCTTCATAAAGGGCTCTTCATGGCCTTTCACTGAAGCAAGCCTCAGCTATTCCCTCTGACTCCAGCAAGCCTCCAAAACCAGTACCATCTGGCTGAGTCTTTCACACTACAAAGTTTGTCAGCAAAAGGTACAACCTTTTCCTGCTCCAGACCACAACTTCAGTTCTGTGTACTGAGAGTGAGAAGATACTTCCCAGATTATTCCTCAATAATGCTGATCTCTTCTTAATCACAGCCAATTCTTCAGTATCAGCTGACAAGAATCACAGATTTGTAATTCAAAATATTGAGTCGCCTTAGTAGTTTCTTTGTAGGACACTTATCCTTCCTTCTGATGTTCCAAAGCCAGGCCTCCAGCATCTGCACTGCCCTCTGCATTAGCTTATAAGTTCCCACAGTAGTCTGTTAATTTCTAAACACTCAATAGTTTTATATCCCAGAGTTACTAAGTTCATTCATAATCCTTCCTAAAACACAGCCAGGTGTGTCACAGTAGTATTCCACATGACCAGTACCAATTTCTCTCTTAGTTACTTGTTCTATTGCTTCGATAAAACACCATGATCAAAGTCAACTTGGGATGAAAAGGGTTTATGTCATTTTATAATTATACATCACAGTCCTTTATTGAAAGAAGTCAGAGCATTAATTCAAGGCTAGAACCCAGAGGTAAGAACCGAAGCAGAAGCCATGAGGAACACTGATTCCTTGCCTGATCCTAATGGCTTGCTGAGCACTCAGGACTGCCTGCAGAGAAGGGGCAATGCTTCCAAAGGGTTACACACTCACATCAATCACTAATCAAGAATATGACCTCCACACCTTCTTACAAACTATTTTAAAGGAAGAACTTTCTCAACTCAGGTATCTCTTTCCAGATAATTTTGTCTAGTGTCAGGCTGACAGAAATCAACCAAAACATACCCTTAGAAAGAGATAATACCTTAAATTTTTGATTTATATACCAACAATAACTTATAGTATTTCTAAGCACTTTATGTCTCTTGATAGGACCACAATAAGTAGCCACACTGAATATCTTTTATCCAAATGACAAGATGCACACATATCCTCTTCATGTGCATGTGAAAGAGCCTACTAATCTGTGAGTTTGAAAAAACACAAAATACTTTGATAGATACAGCAATATATATCTCAATTACTAAATAAATAAGGTATAAACATCTGCAAAATTATTTAGAATGCTTAAGAAACATAAGTGACTCACCAAGAGAGATAACTTTACATATACACATGCCTGAAATCAATTTCTAAAATACCCTGTTCAGGTACACATTAAGAACTCCAAATGGTACATGGAAAGCATTGAAAAGATTCTAAAAATAGGCAGTAGAGATGTATTTCTAATTAAGTTTCTCTCAATCATCTATATTTTCTACCAGACAAACAGCAAATTCAAATTATCTAAAACTGAAGATAACAAATAATGTTCAAGATGACAGAAACTAAACTAACTCACTGATTGAGACACTGCTGCTGGAAAAGATAACAAGTATTTTGGTGGATGATTAAACCAGGGTTGAAGGGGACGGGAGCGGTAGGGAGGGGAGTAGAGAAAAATGTAGAGCTCAATAAAAATCAATAAAACACAGAGTCATTGAATAACAGTGAATCTGTAGAACTTAATACTATACACATCCGTAGTCTCCTATGTCATGCATTAACAGAATACTAGAGTGCAGCTCCATTTCCTGATATATTTTCATTAAGCATTATTTCACAGTAATTCTTTGATGTAGCTAGCTTATTGTTTCTCTAGTCAATCACCACAGCCACCAAGTAACTCTTACTCTCCAGCAAGATATTTAAAGTCTTTTTCTTATTTTCCATTTTCTCATACTTATACTTAGAAAGTTATTTTATTATCTGCCATAATCAAAATGCCTTTGTGCTGGCTCAGGCCCCGGTAAGGATGGAATAAAGACTCTTACCATCTTTCCTAGGAAACATCAGAACCTAGTTGCTGTGGGTTCATGGCCTTGAAAGCAGCTCTCACCAGCCCTGCTCCCTCCATTCTCCTCTGAAGAAAGCAGCACTGATTTCCACCCTGCCCTTGCAGTTTTTATAGAGCTTTACATAATGAGTGCAGGACTCACCTCTTCGGAAATCTCTTCAGCAATGTCCAGATCCTAGCTTGTCTCCCAGGCAAGAAGCTCGGCTAGTTTTATTTGATCAAGACGACAAAACTCTCAGAGATTGGGTTGGGATGTTGCAATCCCCCAAGTGCCAAGAACATGAAGTATTTTTAAAGATGCGAAGTATGACAATGGTCTGAGTCATTTCACTTCACTTCAAGTTTAGGAAATTGAAAGTCTTGAACTCTGCTATTCCCGGAAGAGGAGGAATGCAAAAGTGATGCCACCCAATGTTCTTAGCTTTCAATTTCCCTTGCTAGTAAAACTGGTCTTCTAAAGGATACACTTTACTTACCAAGACAAGCAAAGGTCTCCTGTGCTCAGTTTATTTTCTTCACAAATGGATGTTCTAAACTTAGCATTTCCTGTCCAACAGCCTTACCCATGGGTCACTAAGAAATACATTTCTCTGAATAAAGTTAACATCTAAAAAGGAAAGGGTGAGTCACCCAGACATTTCTCCCTCAGCAGATGTCTCCTGCCACCAAGAACTGAATGTGTTTCCTGGACAGAAGAAGATAGGCAGTGTAGTGTAGGGTGAATTCTAAATGATCTTAATAATAATAAAAAAGCCGGATCAGACATAGGCGTAAATGCTGAAAGAGCAGGGAGACAAAGCAGCTAGCCACAGCCACTTCTTAACTCTCCAACTCTTCAGCCCAAAATTGGTTAGCTCCTGTCTCCACTAGCTTTTCATTCCTCTTTCTGTCCAGCCACATCACTTCCTGTTTCTTCCTCCCTAGAGCTGAGATTAAAGGTGTGTGTCACCACTGCCTGACCTCTTTGATTAGCTAGTGGCTAGCTCTGCACTGTGATCTCCAGGCAAGTTTTACTTGTTAAAGCACAATATAATTTCACGGTTATTTTTTTTTTGTCTAAAGTAAAAAGAATGATGTCACTAATATAAGAAAAACTATATATTGTAAGTACAATAACTTTATACAATATATCCAGTAAATAATACATCACTAATTGTAGTCAATTAACAACTGACACATTCAGAGAAAATACTCTACATCTTCTCTATTTTGGGTAGTACAAATGTTGTACAGAATTCACTATTCTAACTCACATTACTAACAATATCTTTTAATGTCTCTCAAATTTATACTCTTTAAAAAGTTGTACTCTTTTTAAAATCTATTTTTTAATAATGTTTTCTCATTTTACATACCTATCCCTGGTCCCACTCCTCCCCTCTTGCAACTCCACCACCTTACCTGCACTCCACACCCCATCCATTCCTCAGAGAGAGTAAGACTTCCCATGGAGAGTCAACAAATCTGACACATCCCTTTTAACCAGGACAAAGGCCCTGAATCTGGTATCAAGCAAAAGTGTAACTATAAAGTTTTCAAATCCATCAGAGACCTGAGAAGGAAATCATATTACCTGAGTAAGCAGGAAATGCAATAAAACAACTTCCAAAAACTGTGAGAAATGAAAGAAGCAACTGGCTGCCTGGACAGTCATCAAGGTTTCTCTGGAATGCTGGAGCACCCATCTTCAGCCTTCCAGTCTCATGTCTGTCAGACTTTTCTGTAAAGCACGATATTCTGAAGTGCTCTCCTACCTGAATGATGGGTGAGTGTTATTTATAATATATTGTAAATTTTTTCCCAGAAACATATGTT